CTTAAATTCCCATTTTCTGTCTAGATTCATATTTTCATATCCTGAGATCTACTCTTTCACTAATCCAATTATTTAATGACAACATCCCTTGTTTTATGGAAGTCATTTCCCTAAGCTCACACTAGATTAGGGACTCCTTTGTTTGCTCTTCAGTAGCACCATTTAAAACCATTATTATAGTGACTTCTGTAATCATATTTTATGAGTTTTTTTTTTTTTCTGAGTTTGTGAAGAATGATGGTAGTATTTTGATGCGGATTGCATTGAATTTGTAGGTTGCTTTTGGCAGTATGGTCATTTTCATAATATTGATTCTCTTCAGGCATATTAAATGATGTCTGTGTTGAAAATGGAGGGACGTTGGCAGGTATATGTGTGTACACACAGTAGTGTAAACTTGTGTATTCATTCACACTTAGGGGTTTAGGGATCATCCTGTTACTAATTGTGGATACATTCCCAGGAAACTGCTTCCTCATATCGGAAAGCTATGGTTAAACACGACTGGTGTTTAGAAGGAACTTTGCATTTTATTTTATTTTAATTTGTTTTCTCTGGTCCTTGATTCAGGATACAGGAAATTTTGAATCAACATTAATTTATAAATGCGATTCAGACACAAAGTTACCATAGAAATGGGTTTGTCGGTTTAGTAATTTACAGTGAGAAACGTTATTGTGAATCAGACTTGAACTAAAGCGATGGCCAGGAGTAGTGGGTCATGCCTGTAATCCCAGCATTTTGTGAGGCTGAAGTGGGAAGATTGCTTGAGGCTAGGAGTTTGAGACTAGCCTGGGCAACACAGCAAGACCCAGTCTCAATAGAAAATAAAAACCCAAAACAGGAGTGTCCTATGATAGTATGGTACCACATTTACTGTGTATTAGGTACTGGTCTAGTCACTTTTGCATGTGCTAATGCATTTGCTGCTCTCAACAGTCTTACGAGGTTGGTACCATTATATTATTCCTGTTGCACAGATGAATAAAGATTTGCAGAAATGTTATTTAACTTGTGTAAAGTCAGCAGTTAGAATGGGGGATATAGCAGGCAGATTAAAACCCAGGTGGTCTGCTTTGAAGTCTGCACTCTTAACCATTTGCCTTAAGTCATAGTGCTCTATTCACATTGATGGTTATGTGTATTTTAGAGCCGGTGGTCAGGAAGTGAAAAGGAAGGGGCTTCTGGTCCTCAGACCTTCTTTGTCGCAAATGCACATACAGGTCACCCCCTGGTTGGTACAGCAAGGAGAGTGGTGCTGAGTTTTACGTTCTTGTCGTGCAGGCAAGCTACATGGATAAAAATCTTCAAAGACAGCATAGGATTGGGGGCTTTGGGGTTGTATTTAATTTTATGGTTTGTTTATACCCTCCCTCATGCCAAAAGGACTTCTAGAAATATACATGATCCGAGAGAGGGGGAAAAAATAAAGATAAAGCAAGGTCATCTAGAGGAAGGGAAGAATGGTAAGATGAAACAAGAGGAAAACCTAGACATGCATGTAGTAAGGTCACTGCAGATTTGGCTCTCAGCTGCAAGCAGAGAGAAAAAAGATTTCAAGATTCATAGTGCTCATAAAATTAAAATGTGTTACTTACTCTGAAAAGTAGGTATTTTAATGGCATTGAGATCTGAGACAGATTTTTCCTGTGGGTTCTCTTAAAGTGTTGGAGTGATCTGGATATCTGTAGCAGAATACAAGGCTGAACACCCTAGCTGTTTTTTCTTTTTTTTTTCCCCTAGCTGTTTTTCTTATAGCTTCTTTCAGAGCAAGGTTTGGGCAAAACAGCGTGGCTCAATTCAGTAGACAATACTAAAAGGAAAGGAGCTAGGTGAGTAAGGACAAAGGACTCACTGGAAGATATTAGAAGCAAGGGACATTAAGCTATAATGCAGGCTAATAGCATCTTTCTGGCTGATCAGCACATCCCCAACAGGGAAGTCCTTGGGCAGATGCTAGTGGGAGATCCTAGTCATTTTTGTACCATCTGGAGGATAAATCAGGGTTACCTTGTTTGGGTTTTTTGGCCATATTCAGAATTCATTTGCTAAACAAATGTTTCTTAATAAATATAGCTCATATTTTAGGCCCTGTGCTAGACACAGGTTCCAAGGAACAATAACCTAAGGTGTCATTCACAAGGGTCCTGCGTCTAACAGGGAAGACATATATGTTTACAGATATTATCTAGAGTGTCCCATATCTACAACTGGATGGCTGATCTCATTCATTTTGCTAAAAAAAAAGCTTGTAATTAAAAATATGAGTAATTTTTTTATTTTTAGAAAATTTGGAAAAAGGTAAAGATAATAAATATTTAACTAAAAATATAGAAATCAGGCTGGGCGCGGTGGCTCATGCCTGTAATCCCAGCACTTTGGGAGGCTGAGGCGGATGGATCATGAGATCAGGAGTTGGAAACCAGACTGGCCAAGATGGTGAAACCCCGTAGCTACTAAAAATACAAAAATTAGCCGGGTGTGGTGGCACATTCCTGTAATCCCAGCTACCTGGGAGGCTGCGGCAGGAGAATCACTTGAACCTGGGAGGCGAAGGTTGCAGTGAGCCGAGATTGCGCCATTGCA